GAGCATGATCATAACCTTTTGGTGATTTAACATTTCCATAAAATACATTCACGAATTACATCATTACTCCATTTGGGGCAACGTTTATCAAAATTGAGAATCTGGTCTACAAGAAATATTGCTCCAGTGTTTCCAGTTTCAGTTAATGCTGCTATTTTTCTTACTGCTTGAATCAGATTATCTTCTTCGTAGGCCTTCAATTTTAGAGCATTTTTATCATGCTGTGCCTGTAAATCTGCCAATTTTGCATTCTTTCTCCAAAGTGCAGCTTTTAGTTTGTTAATAGTTTTCTTATATTCTGTAACAATTAGTTCCAGGTCATAATTAGTTTGACATGCAGCATTTACCATATTGCTCTTCCTTCCTTCCTCAAAATCAGTATAATTATAAACAGGCCCATCAGTAACTTCAGTGTCTACAGTTGTGCTTTCATGATGAGGACCCTGTTGGTCAACAAGCTTGCTCTTTTTCTGTGGTGGATTTGTACGTACTTCTAAATTCCGTTGCAATGGTGTTCTCTTTGTTTTTTCTGTCTGAGGATGCTTATGTGGGGGATAGTTTGGAAACTGTGAGGGGTATGATGATGAACGTAAAATGCGCCTTTTAGATCCGATTTTATAATCACTTTCTACAAAATGCAGGCTACAGACAACTGACCTGCTACTTGGTATCCACGGCGATACTTTTTTATTTCTTTGTCGTGATATAACATTTAACCACTTCTGTCTCAATTGTTCGTTCGATGGGATTTCATGAAATGTAACTTTTAATCCTTCAGGACAAGTTTTAGATCCAGCATACGATGTGCAAAAAGGCACGCAACAATTTTTAGGCATAATGTGCCTTTACTATTTAAACCACACAATGAATGTATTTATTGTATATCTATATACCAAGCTGCCGTTGAAGAGAAATCTCGTCAACCGTATATAACTCACGAATAAGTATAACTAAATACAACTATAACTATATGTAATTATCACAATTTCATAAAATAGCTATACTCGCACACAAAAGTACAAAACGACCAATTTACTCAACAGACGATTCTCACCGATAACTAGCGCCAAAATCTTTCGCAGCGGCAAAAAATGGAAACAGTGTGAATACGGCAATTTTCCTTACGGCGGATGGCCTTACTAGCGAAGCGATCAAGTGGCCTTGGCAGAACAAACTGGAGGTCCTTACAACACATCCTATGTCTCTAATGTCCAAGCAAAAAGTGAGGTCTTGTTCTACCTTTAGCCCTCAGGCTACCGCCTTTTCTTTGTCTTGAAAATAGGTCACCACCATTTTAACAGGAAAGGGTTAGGGAAGAAGTTTCTGGAAGACGATAGACAAAGGAACTAACAAAGAGAAAAGGGAAACGAATGGAATACTAAGAATAACGTATACAGAATAAGGTGTACGGCCACAGAATCAAGTTTTATTGATAAAGTTTAGTTAAATGATCAATTTATATGTAAATTTGTAGAAATGTGCTGTGATGATGTAATAGCCTCAAAATACATAAAATGCAAATATGTAAAGGCTCTCCCATATAAATACCTCTGGGAGAGCTTTTACATATCCACTTTAACACCGTGCAATACACTGACATTAGAAATCCTGCAGCTGTGGATATCATTATTTAAACAATCTTATTGTTAATTAAATAATCTAAGTTATAATTTTTCATTCTCAGTTACACGACAGCCAAATACGGCACCATTATATGCAAATTCATTTTGGAAGTGATTGGTTAATTTAGAAGTTTTTTTTGGTGTAAAGAAATTGAATGTTTTGCAACATTTTGATTAAGACAGAAATCACCTTACTGATATAAACCTGCCAACCTATCCTAACAAAACCAAATTATCTTTAATGATGTCAATGTCAGTAGATATGAATGACAGATTTATATCTAAACTGATCTACTTCCAGACATGAGTGTATTAAATTTTAATTTATAGATTTACTTATCAGAAGTTAACAGAAATGAGAAATTTCACAAAGTTTTTAAAAATTTACAACTATTTGCAAAAATTTATAACTTTTTAAATACAATTCTTAATCCAGATATTATTGAGTCAAACATTATCTACAAAAAATATGCTACATTTGGTCAATAAACTTTCATGTCAAATATTTATAAATCATCATCAATAAATATTTAAGCAATGACATTTATTTTCTTAAAGCAAATAACAATTGTTAATTATTCAATAGAGAAACATTTCCAGACTCTTAGTTTTAGAAGTTTAATTATTATTACAGATGATATAGCTCATTTCTAAATTTTATATACTTTGTTCAGTTTATAATTACTTTATATTACTAATGAATATATTAATATTGCATGAATTTATATGCAAAACTTTAAATCTAAATTTCATATATTAATTTCCATGAAAATAGGTCCAATTTAAAAAGGTATTTGTAAGAATTTTATTTATAACTCCATTAATTAAGACTTTTTTTAACACTGAATATGTCAGTGACATGCATGTATTTCATATGAAATAGACTGTCATTGGTTTGCTTGCTACTTAGAGATATCAATTTATTTGAATGTGGAACTAAAGATCTTAAAAATAATTGTTTAAATGTAAATGCTTCTTTAATATTAGAGTCAATTTTTTTACTGTATTTAATAACTTTAAGAATGTATTTATTATCAAAACCAAATGATCTGCCAGCATTTTATTGGGCTATCTTAAGTTTAATTAATTAGACTTAAAACAGTCTAATAAAACTCAGGCAGATTGTTTGATTATGATGATAATTTGGGTTAGGGGTTATCACATATATATGTATGTATGTATGTATGTATTTTAAAAATTCTAAATAAAATCTACAAGACTTTCTTGTAAACTATGTTCATTTTACATGGGGCCCAACAGTGGCTGAGTGGATAATACCCGTGTTCTGGTAGTTGGTTGTGGGTTTGTGCATGATCAATCAGCTGGATGTGTGGAGTTTTTTGCACTTTCTTCATGTTACTAACACTTAATTAATACCAGTTTCCCATAGTAGTCCTCCTGGGAGACAGTTCCATCATCCATGTGTCCCTTTTCCCATTAATCCAAAACATTTTATGTATTATTCCTGAAAACAAACATTATTTACTCAAAAACACTAACACACCATTAAAATATTAAAGGCTTTTTAAATTCCAAGAAAGCAATTTTATGTGTAGTTTAATTACATTTGTGGAAGTGTAAAACATGTTAACATTTGCCATTTTAATTTATTTTTAAAACATGATTAGTATCTCAGTTAAAGCAAAGTAATTAACAATTTTATTATATATCTAACTAAAAATAACTTAGACAGTAGTGTAATTAGAACCAATATTAAGTGGGGGCCAAAATTAGAATATGCAAACCTTCATTCATTCATTCCCATACTACTAGTGCTGTGGATATAAAAAACAGACCTTTAACAATCCAGAAAATAAAATTTACTAAATTAAAAACATTAACTGAAGAAGATCAGTTAAAAAAGTTGAAAATGTTTTTAATTTCGTAAATTTTATTTGCTGGATTGTTAAAAGTGTGTTTTTTTATAATATTTAGTTATCTGGTGCATACATTTTTTAAGTGCTGTGGATGAAGAGTAAACTCTGATATTGCAATACAGTACATATGTAGAAATGTTTGTCACATTCAAATTCTTTCCTGTACTTATTTGATTTTTTCTCATTTATTTATTTATAATGGTAAGTGGACACAGGTCCTTTCCCTGGTTACGCTACAGAATTTAGAATTAGATGCTTCTATACATTAATAAACCAGCAATGAGTTGCTCAACTTTGCTGGCAACATTTAAAATTTTGGTAGCATTACCTGTTATCATATTTTATTAAAACACTTTTTATATTTTTAACGATCTATTATAAAATGGCAAAATGCTTCATTTTGAGAGTAGGGATGGGTTTTATAAAAAGTTGTAAATGCTAATGAGTAAAAGCGCCATTAAATCCGATCCTACTGGAGATAAGCACGACTCACATTATCTCCCACCCGTTGATCTTTAACCATCAAAAGTTAACAGCATCGATCCCCCTAATAAGCAAACNGGATGAGTTTTATAAAAAATTTTAAATGCTGATAATGAGTAAAATCAACTTTAAGTCCGACCCTACTAGAAATACACAAGACCCCTTTATCTCCCCATCCCCTCGATTTTTAACCATCAAAATTTAATAGCATCGATCCCACTAATACACAAACCTCCATGCAAGATTTCAGAAATTTTTGACAAAAAGCACATAAGTTATTAAGCTTCAAACAGGGTGAACAAAATTGTGTCACACGCACTAACATCCATACATACAGAAATTACCCCCAAATTTTTTTTCATCTTTCAAGGTGTCCTAAGTCCAAAAAATGTAAAAATCTGGGGGGGTATTTTTTGCCGTATCACCATACTTTCCTCTATATAACAGCCGGGAAAATAAAAAATTAGAGTGCCTTTTTAATGCCAACAGGTAAAAAAAACAAAAAAAATAATTTTTAGATTGTTACATGCTTAAATCCTTTTCAATTAAAATATATTGTTAGTTTAATCAATGATATAAGTGATATTACATATTAAATATTTAATTTCCATTAATTTATATACAGTAAAAATCTCTTTTACTCAGAACAATGCATCATAATCTTAATAACTGATTCTTTTTACAATGAAGTTGCTAAAAAATGTTCAACTCATTAAAATGGTAAAATTGCAGTTGAAAGAGATTTTGACCCCCAAATAATCCTATGGTCATGGTCTACAATTATGACAATACATTAAAGATGTTCTCATATAAAATAGATAATACATTAAATGATACACAGCTGTAATCATATAAAATAGACCATATAGAGCTGTACCATACATTACCATACCATACATTAAAAATATACTCATATTTCTATTTTTTTTCGCTCGATCTTAAACAAGAACACTTCATTAACACGTAAAATAAACCTAAACTCTCTAAACTAGACATAAACACGAATAAAAGTAATAACCTGAAATGCTAAAAAGTCATCACATGTCGGAATGGGATCCATCATGGAAGCGGCCATATTTATTAATCATCAAATCTTTAAGTTTAAATTTAAATCTAACATTTAAATCATCCGCATCATTTTATTTTAAATAAAAGTATAAATTAAATAAAATAAAGTTAAATAAAATTAATTTCGTATAAATTTCTAATAATTACTAACGTTAATAAGTTAAAATTAATTATCGTTCACTTCCGATTACGAAACTTTCACCGTGTCAATTACGACATATGACAATTTCCCTAACCGTGGAACATCAGTTTTTCTGAGTTGTGATGTTCTTCTGACTGATTTTTTCGGAAATTTAACTTCGTTTTAAGGTTAAAAATCGATTAAACCGTCAAAAGATAAACGTAAGTCGACAAAGAAATCATTTATTTATTTAATAATTAATTTTTTTTAGCTGTTGACTGCGTTTGATTCGATCAATTTCCTACCCGTGGACGAATGTTCGATTCGTTTTCACTGCAGTGTTTACAAAATATCAAATTTCTAATTTCTAAACCGAAGTTTCGGATTTATATTATATTTATACTAGAAATGAATTACGTAGGAGTGACGTAACAGCATTAAAAGTGTCAATATCACTTTACACGCTTTCAATATCTTGATTTGGAAGTTGACCCATTCTACATCTTCAATGAGTGCATATCATGTGTAAATTAAATGATATTAATGAAAATTTATTAAATTAACACAAAAAAAATACTTCTGGTCAGCCTTTATTGTTATATATATATATATATTGCAGCTACAGTTATTTATTTATTTATTATTATTTTTTTTTAATGGCTGCACATTATGTGTAAATGTGTGTAAAAATTGAAATTTTTAGTAAATTTTGTGTAAAATATTTTAAATTTTATGATTATTTATACACGATATGTAAGAATTAAAAAAAAAAAAAAATCTGAAGATGCAAAATACGGGGGGTGTAAAAGTAGGTATACGGTTGTTATTATGGAAAAAAAAACATGCAGGGAGAAAATAGGAAGAAAAAACATTTATTCTTATGTACAAATTACATCACAAATAAGGAATACGAACTGATAAAAGATAATAAAAATAATAATAATGAACACCGAACATTTGTATTTCTCAGATTCTCGACTGTATACCTACTTTTGCATCCCCCCGTATATATTAAAGGTCCTGCAGAACTATTTTAATGGTAATCTTGTCTTATTTATTTAATTTTTAATTAAGTAAGAAAAGATTTACAGTCCTGCACAACCGTTAATTTTATTATATAATCAAAATGGGTTGATAATAATATGCACAGAGCCCAAACAGTTAGGAGTCGAAAGCTGAAATTTGGTATACAGTTAGGGTATGTCATAAGAACGTACACTAAGAAAGGATTTTTCGAAATTCCTCCTCGCGGGAAGAGGGAGAAGATTAAGTTTTACTCTGAAGAACTTGGCTTCTACTGTACTATTTTAGGTATGGCTTTTTGCATTTTTGCTGGAAATTGAACATATTCTTAGACTTGCCTAAAAATTCTCTAATTAGCCTCGGAATAGGAGGACCTAATTCTTGCATCCCGTGAAAATGGGTAAGATCGGCTATAATCTAATAATCTTAATCTTTGCTATCATTACTTTTTGCCTGAGCAACTCTTGGCTCATCTGCTAGTATATATATATATATTTTTAACTTTAATTTTTAAATGCCTGTATATCATGAGTAAATTTGTGTAAAAATTAAGATATTTTTATTAAAATTGATAAAAATTTACTAAATATCTAATTCTTACACAATTAAAAAATGAAGATGTTATATATAAGCAATATTAAAGACTGTGTGGGACTTATAATGGTTGTCTTATGTAATTAAAAAAGCTGATAAGTTTAATTGTTTTTTATTAAATAAGACAGGATTACCATTAAAAATACTCATGTGCAGCCTTTATTATATATTTTGCAGCTTCAGTTTTTTTTAATAGCTATGTATTATGTGTAAATAAGTGTAAAATTTATAATATTTAGTAAATTTTTAGTAAAAGATATTTTAATTTTTATTCCTGACTTTTATTTTTTATTTATTTATACCTGATATGCAGGCATTTAAATAAAACTGTAATCTAATTAGTCAATATTCTGGAACAGTTCGCAATTGATGCTGACACAAAAAACATCTTACGTACTAACTCCAGCACCTTATAATAGAAATTATGAATATTTTCAGCCACATTAAGAGGCTTTCCTCAGGTAAAAAACAATTTCGCAGATAGAATATTCAAAAATGGAGAAATATTCAAAACTGAATGTGGCGCAATTTGAAATTTTCTGTTTATAACGTTATCTGTTTTTTGAATATTCTGTCTGTGGAACAGCTTTTTTACTCGAGGAAATTTTTTCAATGCAGCTGAAAAGGTTCGTAATTTCTATTAAAGGTTGCTGGAGTAAGTATGTAAGGTGTTTTTATGTGTCGGTGTCAATTTTAAAACTAATATACAAGCTGTATTAAAAAAAATGATAAATTTAATTATTATTTTTTATTATTATTAAATAAAACAGGATTACCATTAAAATATTTCTGTGGAGGCTTTATTATATATTTTGCAGCTTTATTTATTTTTTAACAGTTGCATATAAAATTAAGATATTTTTGTTAAAATTGATAAAAATTTATTGAATATTTTAATTTTTACATTTTTATTTACACAATACACAAGAATTTAAAAAACAAAGCTGCAATGTAAAGGCTATATTAAAGGTTGCACAGTTATTTTTAATGGCAATCTTGTCTTATTCAAGAAAAAAATTGTGAATTTTAACCAATTATACTTAATTTTTTATTAAATAAGATGACCACTAAAAATACTTTAAAAAACTTTAATACATTAATATATTGCAGCTTTAGTGTTTTCAATGTCTGTACACTGTGTGAATAACCATAAAAATTTTGATTAAAATTGATCAGTAAATTATTTTATATATTATTAATATTTTATTAAACAGAATAGATTTTAACTAAAAGTAAGTTTTTTACTGTCTTTAATGAACATTTGCAGTTTTAAGTTTTTAATGTCTGCACTTCATGCGTAAATAAATGTTAAAAGTTAAAAATATTTAATCGAATTAATGCTTAACATGCTTGATTAACATTTAATAATTTTTTTAAAAATTTTTATTAAATAGAAGAACGTACAAAATTATTTTTACTTATAATGTCTAATGTATATGTTACAACTACGGTATTTTCAATATGTATATATACAGTATCATATAAATAACCATAAAAATTCAATTAAAATTGATAACTAATTAAATTATTAATTTTTTTTATTAAATGGAACAGATTATAACTAAAAATAAGTTGTTTTTAAGTCTTTAATATGTATTTTGCAGCTTTTTTTTTTAATATGTATAAATTGTTGTAACTAACTGTAAAAATTAAAATAATTTAATTAAAATTGATACATAAAATTATTTAATTGATTAACATTTAATAAATTTTTTTATTAAATGGAAGAAAAATGTACAAAATAATTTCTATTTATAGTATTTAATGTATATGTTACAACCTTGGTGTTTTGAATGTCTGCAATTTCGTGTAAATAACTATCAAAATTTTGATTTATAAACTGATAGCAATAGTAGTTTAACTCGTGACGGGACTCTTATTGAGTAAATAAACTAAGAAAAAATCAAATAAGTATGAGGAAAAAGACTTCAATGCAACAAACACGCTTATACGTATGAATATACATTATCTAAGTTTAATCTTCATGCACAGCACTAGTAGCTAAATCTATAGTAATACAGGGACAAATGTAGGTTTTTACGTTCAACTTTGTCTCCCTAAAATCGGTTCTAGTTATCGATTCTAATAATCTGTTCTGATTAACAAAAATTAATAAATTATTAAAAAGTTCTGTAGAGTTTTTAATGTGGTTTAATTTTTTTAAATACCTATAAATTGTGTGTAAATAAATGTAAAAATTGAATTATTTTGATTAAAATTGATATACAAAAGTATTTAATTCATCAACATTCACTTTACAAATTACAACATTCAAATTACTTTTTGTACCATTGCCATTTTACTTTTTTGATGTCCGTGTATCATGTAATTTAACTGTAAAATTTCTAATATTTGGTTGGAAATGACAGTTAATTAAATTATTTTATGTAACATTATGTTACTAAATACAAAATGATTAACTAAAATTAGTGTTTTGCAATCTTTAATGACATTTTTTTTTTTTTGATTTTACATCATCTAAAAATTGAAATATTTTAGATCCATGTATAAAATTATATAATTTATTAAATACAATAGATTATAACTAAATGTAGTTTTGAAAGATCTTTAATGAATATTTTACAAGTTTAGTTTTATCTCTCTCTCTCTCTCTCTATATCAATGTATAAATAATTATAAAAGTGAAATATTTTAATTAAAATTGAATAACATTTCTACTTTTATTAAATAGAAAAATACTGTATGAATCTATTTTAGTTATTATCTCTAGTGAATATTTTTCAGTTTTTGACTTTGACCAGTTTTTTTTTTTTTTTTAATGATTAAGATTGCCTTAGTTCTAATAATAATAATCATTGATATTTGATGATATATAAATTAATTCTTTTATAATGATTTTCTGGTATTTTGAAATTCTTTATTCTGTGCTTCAATTTGTGTAATTTATTTGAATTCATAGGCAAGTATTCCATTATATGTTCTAAACAACATATCCTGAAATGGCTGTTTATATAGCTGAAAACGTTAGATTAAACAATCACTTTTGCTGGTAAAGGTTTGAAAGTGGTTAAAGAAATTGGAACAAGTTTGCATGATATATTATATAAATTAATAGCTTAATTAACTTACTGATTATGTATGATAAGTGAATCAGTTTACATACATACATCCATATGAAATATTGATTAAAAATTAAGTTATGAATGAGATAGTTGAGACCTTATCAGAGCTTAGACCATTCCCACAGGAGTAAAAAAAGTCAAAGGAACCGATGGTCTACGGGTCATCCTTTGTGAGATAGTCTCTCTCGAGACCAGCCTGCTTGTTAAACTTGCAATAGGATACAGCGTCACTTCGATTGCACCCCAGAAGTAGTTGGTGCAATGGCATTTCTCATGTTTTGTGAGCTTTCAGCTGTCTCTAGTAAAGTGGTAAATGTTTTGTTTTGAGAAATAGTTCTGGATTTTTCACTTTTAAATTTTATTCCATTTTTGATGGTCTTCAAAATTCTGATAGGCTGGGCGGGATTATATCTCACGAAATGTCATGTGTAGACCATTGGTTTCTTTAACTTTTTTTTAACTCTATGGAGATGATCTACGGTTCTAATAAGGTCCCACTGCCTCATTCAGCGCTGCATTTT